ATGTCCTGAGAGCCACTTTCAACCCCAATAGTGAAACTTGGGATGAAGTCATACCAGATGTTCAATGTGCCATAAATTCTGCTTACAATGCTTCCATAGGTGATACTCCACATTATGCATTGTATGGTGTAGACAAGCGTTTACCCTATGAGTTGTTATATTCCACTCCGAAGCCTAATTACAACCCTGATGATTTCGTAGCAACTTGTACCAGCATGGCTCAGTGTTTTTAGGAGAATCCGTGAAACACTTCATAAATCAACAGCAGAATTTACTAGCGTAACTAACAGCCGTGCTAAGCCATCAAAAGTCAAAGTAGGTTCGAGAGTAATGCTGACAAATTTCAACAAAACATCCGAAATGCCTAAGCTCGATCAAAAGTTTGTCGGACCTTATCGAGTTGTAGAACATATCTCTGGCAATAAGTATAAGGTTAGAGAAATTAGTACTGGTAAGTACAAAGAATAGCATTTAGATCATATGAAATTTGTATGCGATGTTGATGATATTGCTACCCAGACTAATGTGACAGATGCTGAAAATCCTCTTGACTCTGTACCCTCTACCTCAGATACTCAGTCTGATAATCAACCTGAATGTCGTTACTCCTTGCATACTCAACAAGTAATGAGAAACCCACAAGTCTCTTTTGTAGATACTCGGTCAGACCTCCCTCAGTCAAGGCATGTGTTAGCCATTGCAGAGGAATTCGATCCTCCCAGAGATGATAACCATTCTGCATATGTAAACCTCACCCTCACAGAATTGGGTTTAAATGTACATAATCTGTATAACTAGATGTCTGAGATGAAGTAAATTGTCAACTGTTTGTTATTAACTGATTAGCTTTTCAGAATTTTTTTTTTTTCATATTCACGTTCCCTCCGTATTCTGAGAATCTGACAGTAATGATCTGAGTGCACCAGACGCCTTTGCTGTTAATTTCACCTTGTATATATATATATATATTATTCTTCCTCAGAATCCATGAGTGCATGAATACAGATCAATTGATCAATTCCATCCCATATTGTACAATGATTTGTTCTTATAGTTTGTAATGCATTACGTTAAAACTCATTACGTTAAAAGTGATTACGTTAACACCCATTACGTAAAACTCATTTTGTTAACATCCATTATGATACCATCCATTAGTTCTAAGTTATATATGAATTTGTTATTGTATAGAATCAGCCCAGAACCACCTGCCTGTTCAGCCTATAAGATAGTAGTGTATGTCGAGACGACATACGTAACATGACCGAGCTGTCAGCATAGTTGCTGATCCCTGTGTTGTATAGCATATCATAGTATCATCCATGTGCTTTATATAGAAGACCCCTTAGGCCTGTGACTGTATGACGTCACAGGATGCAGCTTGAGTGTGAGGCGAGCTACCTCGGCCTCAGTCGGCGTTTGACATAGGCAGGACAAGGCAGAGGCTGGGCTCCATCTCCCATTACCAGAGTCTGACAATATATCGTTACCATCCAACAAGTGTGTCTACCTTCAATCCTCGATATCTCCTCTTAAGAACCCCTACGATACCAACTCAACACCCGATTATGTACCCGTTCAACCTACTGTATATTTAAAGCTACCCAAAGTTCTTGTCTGAATGACGCTACCTTGAAGTTTGTTTCATTCATCTACAACTCTACTGCCAAACCAGTGCTTCTCCAAACTTCAATCTGCTGATGCGAGTCCTGCTTTGGATAGATATTTTCAGCACGCTATGAATATCCTCTTTATTTATTCCCGTTTTTCATTTGTACACTTCAGTCATATTTCCCCTTCAGCTTATTTATTTTCGCAAGGTTTCTAATACATACACGGAATCAACCTCGCTATTCCTCTCTGCATATTTCCGATCGCTTTTATGTCCATCCTGTTATATGGAGAACAGAAGTGAGCAGTACTAAACGAGGCCTAACCAAAGATACTTAAAGCTGAAGCATAATCTTTTATATTATTTATACTTCTTGATACAATTCCAAGAATTCTATTAGCTTTATTGCGAACACTATTGCAGTGTTGTCTTGACTTTAAATTTCTGGTAACCAGAACTCCTTGATCTTTTTCGTATTCAAAGATCTACACTGTTTAGCTTACAAGTGTCGTAGTTATTCCCTTAGGATTAGAAACTTACACTTGTCTGCATGGAACTGCATCTGCCACTTCTCCGACCACATCATCAACATATCTAGGTCAACCTGAAGCACTGTGTCCACATCAGAAATGATCTGATAGCTTATTTTAGCGTCATAAGTTAGTGGTACAATGTTAGGTTCTCACCGGCAGAGCTGGCCACGGGGAGGAGACATGTAGCCACTAGCAACGGTTCAAAACATTTAGTTCTGATTTGCACGTATTTTATTACAGCTCTATACGGATAACTCTAATTTCCTTGGATCAAACCTGATATGACCCCTAAATAATAATAATAATGGTGGCTAAAGCTCCCGCTTCACACACGGAGGGCCCGGGTTCGATTCCCGGCGGGTGGAAACATTCGACACGTTTCCTTACACCTGTTGTCCTGTTCACCTAGCAGCAAATAGGTACCTGGGTGTCAGTCGACTGGTGTGGGTCGCATCCTGGGGGACAAGATTAAGGACCCCAATGGAAATAAGTTAGACAGTCCTCGATGACGCACTGACTTTCTTGGGTTATCCTGGGTGGCTAACCCTCCGGGGTTAAAAATCCGAACGAAATCCTATCCTATCCTATAATAATAATAGTAATCCACACAGTTACAACATATCACGGTTTAAGTTTTAGTCAAGAACGGTCTGCTTACGAAAACATTCTGTCTAGAAGCTTACTACAGTAATTATCTCTTCGGGATCTATTTTAAGAAAACAATGTACAAAAAAAAAAAAAAAGGCGCAATGCTCATTCTGAACTTTTGACAGTAAAGAAACAATATCTTTCAAACTATAAATATTATTCTAAAATTACTGACTTGGATTCTGTCAAAAAAGTTCATAAAACTATGTAATACCGGTAACATGTCTATAAGAAATTTAATTTGCCCTGGATGTATTAAAAAATTTAACGTGCGGCCAGCAGCAACAGCCTGGCTGATCAGGCCCTGATCCACCGGTCCATGGGCCGCGGGGGCGTTGATCCCCGGAATACCCCCAAGGGAAACTCCAAGTAGACAAAACCCAAAGGGTCATTCACCACTGCAATACTTAAATTTAGCTAACGCTTGCATGCATGCTAACCACCAACTCTTAAACTAAAACTAGGCCTCCTTAAGCTAACGTTCTCGCCCAGTAAAATAAGTTTGAAAATAAGCTAAAATATCCTAAGTCTTCGGGATCTAAAAGTTTACTGGGGTCCCGGAAGGCACTTGGGAATTATAGAAAAACTACAAGAATTTTTTTTTTACACTGAAGTCGCGAGCAGACAGTATACAAAAATTGCAGCTCAGTCAGCAATATGCCACAAGTTGGTTGAAGTTCGTACTTCTTACAGGAATGAAGGGAAAAAAAAACCAGAGGAAGCCTTGTCACAACGATTTGTTCTAAGTCAATTTCCTCCTTAGAGCAAATACTGCAAATCCCGAAGACCTGTTTTGCTACGTGTACTGTTGTCGTCACAGTATGCCACAAATGGCAGCCATTAGCATGTGACGAGCAGCACAGAGGGAAGCAAGATCGCTTGCAGATATCCATAGGTGAGGTGGGATATGTGCCCAGTTCTCAACCTATACACAGACGTTTTATAATGACGATTCTTCAAAAGGCAATGTGTCCAGAGCGACTGAAAAAAAATACACATTCTTATTTACAATTGGCATGGGCTAAACATCCTTCAGTTATTTCTTTTCTGGGCAAGAGGATGCAGAAGGATGTATTGTCAGCAGCCTGAACCTCAGCATACTGTTGAGATTATTTTCCTGAGATAGAATAATTAATAAAAGTGACGCCAGGATGGTATGCGCCTCAGCTGTGAAAAAATTAAGATTCCACTGGTAGTTTTGTACAATAATAATCACTACTAAACGCATTCCTCCATCACCGGAGCCATTTGTAAAGCGATCACACACTGACTGCTTAGTAATGCTAGAAATATGATGAGTCAGTTAGGGGTGACCTAACTCTGGATAATCATCTCTACCCGTGGTCCCAAGACTTCAACCTATCAGCAGAAATATCGCCGGTACGAATGTAGATATTTTCAAGAAAAAACTGGACCACTATCTTTAAATTCCTGATCAGTGGGGTTGTGATAGGTATGTGGACCTGCGAGTCGCTAGTACAAACGGCCTGACTGACCAGGCGATCAACAAGACGGTCGGGCTGCGATGAAGAGAACAAGTCACAAGTACGTCACAGGTAATTGATAAATAGTAAAGAGATCTGACGTTAGAACTTTTTCCAAATCTTCAACAAATGAGTACTACGGATATCTTTTATATAGTTCAACTTTTGCATAAATGCCACTTTCATATTAAAATATAGATTAGACACCCATATGTTTTTCACAGATTAAAAAAAGGGGGAAAAAGAAATAATTTATAAAAACGCTGATAACCCACCCTCCACCTCCACTCCCTCTCCCATCTATGTTGTTACACCAGGGATGGGGAAGGAGGAGGGAAGGGGATAAGTGATGATATCCCCCTTATCGTTCTCCAGAAATCTCTCAGCTCAGGCTGATACATTTCAATTCCTTCATGAAACCCATCCCGTGAGAAGGAATATGACATCCTAAGAGATAATTATATTTTGTTCTCATAATGTCTATGTTATTAACATACGGAATTCGGTAGCCGAACACTGCTTACGTACCGAAGTTTGATCAATAGAAAAGTTATTTTTACTGGGGATCACCAGCAAACAAACTGGCCCGAAGCCGGGCCGCGATTACCGAATATAGGATCGAGTCTCCACCATTCCTTGCGCTGAATGATACATACAAGTTTAGCTCTTCACAAAATACAACATAATACAAAATACTGGGGGCTAAGGAATAGAGAATCTTACCTGTGCACTTCTAACACAAGGATACTGGGAGACGGTCACCAGGCCACAACACTATCCGTCCAATCACATTTTTGACATGGCATTGGAGGCTCCCTTGTGTTATCTCCTTAAACTAGTATTCACATCATTAGCATCACAGATGAAGTCTCTCATTAAGTTTTAAGATCAATAAAGGTACTAGATATCCTCAGGACTGCCTTTTAGGCTGTCTATAGGCAGGTTGCCTCGGAGCTGCCGTCACTAATGGTTCTCCAGACGACTGGCCAATGATCCTGTTACGAGCCAGGTCAGACACCAACAGCAGAGGGCAACTGGCCAATACGATGCTCCCACCACCACTGCAAAAGCAGAAAAAATAACATTGTAATATAATTCACAGATAACACAAACTTAGAAGAGGAAACTTTAGACGAAGGTTCAGTTAGTCCTTAACCATTATAAAAATACATTGTTGTGTCTTCATAATAATCTAAGACTTGCCGAAACGTTGTCAAAAATTTTCTCTTAAGTGTGAGTTATTTGCGAGTTATTCCATGCATTTAAACTCGCAAATTTGTCTAAGCAGCTATTATTGAATGTTGGTTCTCAGGGGGAACTCAATTAATTTGGATTTTACGATACTTACAACTTATCTATACCACGAGGTAATTATTTCTTGTGGAAATTGTTATTAGTAAAACATAATACCTTTGATATCAGCAAACATAATACCTTAATTTGGCTGTAATGCCGCGTCAGCAACAATCAACCATTAGTATCAAGTTAGTCGACGCACCTGACCATCACAGCGAACGTAAACAAACACACCAGTTTCATTTCTGCCCAGAATGGATCAATGCTAGGTTTCGTTGGGGCTTTCCAAACTGCCCAACACAAAACGATATTTCCGTGGCAGAACTCACTCAATAATGGACTTCTTAAACAATATTTTATCGCCAAAATATGCAGAGGACCAACATTCAATTACTGCCATCTAACCTATTATTAAAGCTATGCGAAGTGCTCGCTTCAAACGTAAAACTATTAAAAGGTTACGTTACATCTCATTGCTCCGCTCAACTTTTAACTCTCCCGCCACCATAACTGCCGCTTATCACTAACAGGGAGAATTATAAACCTTTCCCCGACAGCATTTCATAAAAATAACGTAGTAAAGTTAAAATAGTTTGTTATGCGAGCCTGAAGTATACATTACCCGCTGGCCAGTGCTTATTACACATTTCGGTTTGGATTATTGTAGTTTTATATGCACAATAAATTTTTATTACTGAGTATTTTACTAAATAAAAATAACATGTTTTAAAAAGCACGGGAAATGAACAGACACAGGTTGCAGAATACTCTTTCACTGGGATAGTCTCAATAAAAGCTAGTTTTGTAGTGTCTTTTGTTCACTATTGTAGGCAACAAGCCGTTTAGATCCATGGCAAACGAGTCTAATAAAGAACAGGTGTTTGCCGGCGGCAACAGATAGTTACCTCCTCGTGTGGCAGCTGGATCCCGCACGCTCTCATCATTCCTGATGGCTTGGTCGCCTCTAAGAGAAAAAACAAATTGAAGGTACGGGGGTAATGTATTTTAATTTTCCACATACACTCAATACCGCTGTTCTTATATAGCGTGAACCGCTTTGTAAGTTTCTGTTACGTGCTATGATAAAGGGTTAAAGATCAGAGAGGAAACGAGCACACAGACTTTATTGGGTTATCCATCGTTAAATCTGCATAACGTACCATTGGTGCATGCTGTAAAACATCTATATGCCCTCAGAGCTATTTTATAAATTTATACTACTGTGTTAAATATTTGTATAGTTCCTGAATAAAGCTTGTGTGCTAGTGAGTGGAGAGCTAAAATATTCAGAGTATAAAGACCCCATTCAGCTAGTACTGTTCCTGTATCAAGGAATCACTAGACGAGACGGAAGAAAGAGCCGATACTGAAGGTGTACATAACAAAATTTAAGACGTCTGTAACTTATAAAGGTGTACACACACACACACACACACACACACACACACACACACACACACACACACACACACACCTAGCTAGCGCACGCACACTCAACGCATCACGGGAAAAAAAAGATAATTACTCTCAGCGTCAAAAATAACTGTGATCATCGGCTCATAGTATTAGCCCCGGCGCCCACTACACCAACACTGTATTATCCCCACATCATTCTACTTTGACTCACCAGGGTAAACAAGAGAGCAGTTAAGCAAGCAACAGAGTAAGCAAGCATGCCAATAATCAAACGAACAAGCAACTAGGCAAACAAGAAATTAGGTAAGCAAGCAATGAAGCCAACAAATCAAAGGACCAAGCAGGCAAGCAAGCAAACAAGCCATCAATTAAACAAGTATAGACAGGCAGGCAATCAAACAAATGACAGTTTCTTTTCAAGGCAGGCGAAATCGTAGATCTGGAAAATGTAGAGAACCTTCACTGCCCGTGTAAACCTAGTCCAGCATGCAAATTATTCTGAACGTCTGAGTCAAGCACGTAAATCATTCTGAACGTTTGAGCCAAGCACGTATATTATTCTGAATGTCTGAGTCAACCACGTAAATTCTGAACGTCTGGGTCAAGCATGTAAATTATTCTGAATGTCTGAGTCAACCACGTATATTATTCTGAACGTTTGAGCCAAGCACGTAAATTCTGAACGTCTGGGTCAAGCATGTAAATTATTCTGAACGTCTGGGTCAATTATGTAAATTATTCTGAACGTTTCAAGCCCCTCCAACTGTATTTCCTAGAACGTAGACTAGAAAGATGTGAAATAAGACATATGCAGTATTAGCATATTTTAACAAGGGAACGTTTCGCCACGAACAGCTCACTTCATCAAAATATCCTAATACTGTACGTCTACTCTCACATTCGTCAGTATTTTACACTAATTCTTACCCGGACGAGAAAGATGTATCATAATTTTAGCAAGGAAAATACTGGACGGACTGATCCCGAAGCTGCACACAAATCCCATCCTACGATAGCAAGGATCTCTGAAGACGGTGCAAAATACCCACAATGAAAAACTGATGTGCAATAAGAGTTAATTTAATATCTTTATACATCCCATACCCATCCTGCGGGCGGTAGTCAAAAGATTACAGAGGCACAATAGGTCCAGAGACTGGGCAGCAAAGTTCTCATAGCTGAACAAGTTACACGTTTATGACTCACGAAATCGTAATGGCACGATTGCAAACAAACCATACCACGGGTGGGGTTTGATCCCGCGGTCCAGACCGTCGCGGTTAGCCACTGGCTAACGCGACGATCTGGAGTTTGAGACTCTCTGACCGCGGGATCAAACCCCACCCGTGGTATGGTTTGTTTACATGTTCATAACTGGTCACAATCGTAATGATTTATTTATGCAGACATGTGCACTAGGTATAAAAGTATCAATACGTCTTGACACCCTCCCTTCATATATAAGGAGAATTACCAAATGGCACCTAGATGTCTTCAAGTGGGAACTTGATTAACATCAAGTCATTTCCTGATCAGCAAAGCTGTGGCGCCTATTCTGGCCTGCATGTGGCCACCATTAATAACTTGACCGATCAGGCAGGGACTCCTGGTCTGGGACCGGGCCGTGAGGGGAGGGGGTAATGACTCCGGGAATGTGTCTAGATGTAAATGCAGGTAAATAAGCAACTAGGCATGCAACAAGGTATGAAGGTAAGCAATTTGGCAGGCTAGCAAAAAAAAGAACAAGTGCTCAGGCAGGAAGACAATCAAGCAATCAGGCCATAGGGCAGGCAGAGGCAGGAGCGAGCGGGCAGGCAAGGGCGAGTGTGCAAGCAGGCAGAGACAGGTGTGCAGGCATGCAGGCAGGGGCGGGTGGACAGGCAGGTGTGAGCAGGCAGGCCGTCATGACGCAGGAATGAGCCAGCTCACAAGATAATCAATTTACCTACTCCAAACTCACCAGAACACTGGCCTAAATTTAACTCACACTACTTACGTCTCTTCCACCAGCTGATTCTCACCTCTCACAAGCAGTCGCACATGCATCCGTACACGCATACACCCATAGGTTATATCTGTAAACCGAAGAAGTTACAATAGACCAATAAAAAGTTCTTCAATGGCAGAATAATGACCATACATTTCAAGCACTTGTGGCTTTGCCAGGAGGCCGTGGCGTTTTACATAGCCAAAAGATGTGCAGTGCAGTGAAACTGACCTTGGGGTTTTTCCAGTGACTGATGCTGCAGGGTGGATGTTTAACAAGATACTACTTATCCTGAAATCACAATGTTATTCATACAGTAGCAAATGTTAGTCAAAATATGGGCTTACTAATTGTGAGATTATAAATATGTGTGTATTTCTCAGTTTCCAACAGCCTGACTGGTCAGAGACCGAGACGCGATTTGTGGGCTAAGACGAGAGCTACCAACACTTCTTGAGCTGAAAATAATATAATGCAAAATGACCTGGAACGATATGTGCCTCCTACCACACAGAAGCCTGTGCTAGGCAGAGTTGGTAGAGGTGAGAGATGATGACAAACTTACCGAACCTTTGAGTCATCTAGAATTTTTTCCAATAGCTATGATCACTTTTTTCTGAGTATTACTCACGCAGCCTGTCCGAGACCAGACTTTCCTGGGTATTGCTGGATCAACCAGGCAGTTTCTGCCCGCACCATGCGGGCAAAACACAAACCAACTTTCCATACTCTTTCTATATTCTTCCTCCCGTTCGTTTCCCTATTAACTTTTCCTACACTATTACAGAATAGGGCAGCACTACAATGTGGATGTGCTCACTTTCATTAAAAGACCGTCTATGGTTTCCTTTCTTGGGTTCCCAGCAACTTTTCCTTTATTTTTATTAATATAAATTTATTCTGGGCTTCTACTTCGACGTTGTAACACGCACCGTTACAATTATGAGTGTGGGCGAACCTACCACTGCGGCTGTGGGCGGACCTGCCACTGTGGCTGTGGGCGGAACTCATTCACGCCCGACCCACTAACCTCATCACTCTAGATGCAAAGTGCGATGGGGAGAAAGGGGGGGGGGGAGGAAGGATGGAAAATGAGAAAGGGTAAGGAAATGTATTGGGATGGGAGAGATGCAAAAAAACAAATAAAGGGAGACAGAAAGGGTAGGAATATAGGGAGGGGAAGAAAATGAGGATGGGAAAGAAAGAATAAGAGGGGATGTGAAGGAAGCATGAGTAAAGAAATGGGAGAGAAATTACAGAAAGAGCGTTTAGTGCTAGCCCAGACTCAAACACTGGATCAGTCAGTTGGACCAGTGTCTCCTACTGCATGTCATGTCCCCCACAGAAGGCGTCTCAGTTGTC